TCAAAGGAACGTGGAGGATTCATGACTTGAAAGCAGCGGAAAAGAAGGGAAATGACAGGGGAAAACAAAACCATATGAAATCTGAAGTAACAAAAGGTGTTCAACAAGGCCGCCCATTAGCTACACATGATTGGGAAAGATGAGGAATGGAAGGGTGGGAAAGACAGAAACAACATCAAAGAGACCAAAGTAAGAAGGTATACCACCACCTGTGATAAATGGACATGGAAGAAGGTCTAATGGATAAGGAAAGATACAACAGGGAGAATCAGTCCCTGAGCTAAGACAAACAACCTGACAAAAGTCATGTGTGAAGACAGTGTGTGGTGACGTCTGGATGAACCCTGTTCAACCAAGGTTCACAGAATAAGGACTGATACAGAGGTAATCGTAGGAGAGGCTATACAAGTAAGGGTTGGAGCAGTGGGAACAATGGTTGCACCACCCAATATGGAGCCACCAGTAAGACAAGTCAAGGAGTGGTTTAAAACTCTGGAGAGGAATCGAAAAGGAGGGTAAGCATAGATATGAAGACCCCCTCCAATCTTGACAGAATACAACGACCCCCAGAGTTATCAAGTGTGGAACAGGAGACCAAAGAAAAGGAAGTTTGGTATTCCAGTGGGTGGCGCAGGCATATATGAGGTGTTCCCAGCTGAGAATACATCCATCTAAAGACCTTTAGATGATCGAGGGACCATTCCATGAAGATAATCTTGTTGGGAAGAAATATTCAATCCACAGTCAGATTCAGGGAGCCAGAGAAATGGCAAGCTAAGACCACAATTTGGTGACTGTGGGCCGAGAAAAGAAATCCAAGATCTGAAAGCAACTGGAACTAGTACCCCTTGCTCTGTAATATAAATGACCACTGTAGAGATGTCGGAATGTACCATAACCACCTCCCCTGCAGAAGATGGAGGAAGTGGGACAAAGCTAATGAACCAACAAAGGCTCACGAATGGTGATAAGGAGAGAAGACTCCTTGATCAATCATAGACCAGAAATCTTCTGGGAGTTGAGGTAAGAACTACAACCCTCTAAAAATGGGAGAGGTGAAGTGGCATCCCCACCATGGTCTGGTCCCTTTCTAACCACCAAGCCAGGTTGGCTCCAATTGGTGAAGGAAGGATAAAAGAGTAGTTCAAAGGATCCAAGGTGAAGTTTCACTGATCTAGGAGTGTCCACCAAAGGGAACACATATAAGCCTCACCAATGGGAATGAGAGCTTCCAAGGAAGCCCATATCCCCAAAGGGATAGAACATCTTGAGCTGTAAGAAATGTAAGATGAGGGACTTGTGAACTGCCTGGTCCAAACCCAAAGAGGAAATGCCGGGGCCGAATGAGGTTTGAATAAAGAAACCCCTCCCCCAAATGAACAGGGTATTGAGTGGGGGATAAGAAAGGACTTCCCCACTGTCATCAGGAATCCCATCAGTGCTGCTTCTTGTAGGAGCAGATGGGTGTGGTTTCTGGACTGTGAACAGGAAGAAGCAAGCAGGACCCAATCATCCTAAGGAAGAGGAGAGTGAAAATCGGCATGAGTTTGTACCACCCAAAAAACACCTAAAAAGCCAAAGTTAGTCCAAATGGTATGGCTCTAAAATGGAACACTACTTAGAGCAATATGAGGTTTCTAGTACTACAAATGTAGGAAAAGAAATTAACATGTCAGCAACGTAAAAAAGCAAAAAAATTAAAGTCCTTCACTGACAAAAATAGGATGCTAAGGTGCATAGTTAACAATGATACAAAAAATTTAATCAGATAGAACAATGAATTATATATTACTAGTAGTAATGATATGTAGCGTACAAAGTATCTAAACATACCTAGTTAACAAAGTACTTATAAATATCAAATGGACAAATTATCTAAATTTACCTAGTCCACAAAGTATTTAATAACAACATACACGCAAATCAACTAAAATTACCTAGAAATCACATTAATAATCAAAAATCTAACTTACAATTCCCCTAAATATAACCTAGACAACAAAGGACACATAATGAAAATTATGATCATAAGGCACAGTTAAAATGATGAAAAAATATTCAGATAGAACAATTAATTAATGTTACAAGTAATAACGATATGTAACTTACAAACTATCTAAATATACCTAGTTAAAGTACATATTAATAACAAACTAACAAACCCATGAAACTTCCCAAGTACGTAATATTAACAAACATGCAAAACAATTAAATTTACCTAAAACAACAAAGTGATAATATCAAACTTAGATGACAAAAGACATAAATATCTAACTTACCCAAGTCCAAGCAATGATAAAATGAAATACTAAATTCTCCCATGTGTGAAGTGTACACATTGAAAAACTTTCCACAGATCTCCAGGGAGAACTGGAAGCAATAGGAAGAAAGGAGGAGAAGAATCATTCTCCACCAAAGATAATAATGTGGCAGTATGGAAACTGGTGAAAAATGAAAACTCCTAAAGAGGTGTAGAGTGTAAGACTGAAATAAGGTGCTGAAAAAGAGAGTCCAAATTATCTTCTTATTGATTGTATTCACCTCAGAAAAAATGAAGGAATCACCAGTGAACGTATATATGTTGCTCTCTGTGAATTAAAACCTTTACCTCCTCTGCAGATAAAGTCAAACCCGATTCCTGGGAAGTCATAACAGCAGTTTTTTCAACTGCAATGTGAATTTCAATAGCTGGCACATTGATCACAAATTCATACTAAGATCTCTTATAAAGTCAGTAACAAGAAATAAATGTAAAAAAAAACAAAAATTGTTGAAATAAGTGAATGCAAACACAGTAAAATAAAATTGTTGAAAAATATTTGATATGGCAAAGAAGACGTTCATAAACGGGAGCCACATGTGAAAAAATACACGTCTAAACAATTTTGTGCCAAACAGAATTGTGATAATTGAGTAGGAATAGCAGAGGGAGCTAACTTTGCCAACAATATAAGTGGCACAATGCTATTGGTGGAGAGTAGTCACATGATATGTACATGTTCAAAAATGGCACAAAATTGATGGGATATATGGAACAGTGTGATGAGTACAAAAGTTTTTAGCAATGCTTAGAAGTCAGATAGAAGATTGAGATAGCTTTGTGTAAGCAGAGACAAGACCGTATTGGAAAAGACTCCAAAGTGGACCAACCACTGAGTGTGTGTGAGTCAAGAGTGGCATGGAATACTTCACCAACAACTCAGACAAGCAACCTTATGAAGAAGTGACATGGCCAAGCTTAGGCCTCCCAGGAAGAGGCAAGGAGGAGCCAGTCCTCCACGTAATAATGGAAATGAGGCCCAAGAATGTGGATGTAGCAAGCAAATGTCTCCACCACTTTACTGAAGGAATAAGGCGTAGAACTAATGTTTAAGGGGAGAGCTCAAAACTGATACACCTGATCTTGGTGAACAAAACAAAGGAACAATGTATGGATTGGCAATTGTAATGTGAAAAAGGGTATTCAAGACATCAACCATGATCGTCCATTGCCTGGGGGTAAAAGGAAGAAACCCTTCCATCTTGAACTGAAGAACCATCAGATATTGGTTAAGATAGGAAAGGTCACTGGTGGGACACCAGCCTCCAGTCTTTTTGGGGCCAACAAAATATTGAGAATAAATCCCTGTAGAGGAGCAAAAGACCCTCTTGATGGCCCTTATGTCCAAAATATATGATATGGTTGCATCGAGATGCAGAAGATTGGAAGGAGGAAAAGAAGACAGAGGAGGAAGAGATGAGAAGTAAAGCTAAAGACCCACCAGCTGGCTGCAAAAAGGGTCTCAAGGTCTGGAAACAAAAAAAGACCCCTACAGGATCTGAGCCAACTGTGTACAAAAGGAGGGGGTCAATAACATGGCATGCAAGAGTCAACCCGAAGGGAGAGGGAGTGGCAAGAAGTGGTAGAGAGAGAGAAGAAATGGGAAAAAGAGGTAGAGGATTCATGGGTCAATGAATGGGAGAGGTCTCACAAGCCTGTAAGAGACAAGAAATCAAAGAGGGAAGGGAGGATAGCATCAGGCAGCCTTGGCCCAAGTCTCCAAGGTTATGAATACTCTCAAAGGCTTCAGGGCAAAGAAAAGGAGCCTAATAAAGATCAAGGAGGTAAGACTGGAGAAGGCGATTGGTAGAAAGAAAAATATCACATCCCAGACGGTCGCAACAACAGAGGAACCATGTAAGCAAGGAAACGGCAGAAGATGAAATGCTAACCAAGGTATTGAAAAGGACCTACCACAGTGTATGGTTTCAGATAGGAGAAAAAGAGAGGACAGGTAATTAAGGTAATGGGTATATAAAATACAAAGATGGAAAAATTGTCTGCTAGTATTACTGGAGTCAGTCCCACAAGTGGGTAGAAGGGTATTCAAGAATGGAAAAGGGTGAACAGCCATTAGCCACAGCAGAAGAATTCTAGAAGCGAGGAGGAGGATGCATTTGAAAGTGGGAATGAAGCTAATCCAGGAACATGTCAACACAGACTCACATTCCTGAAAGAGAAGGAAAAACTAAATAATCTTTAACGTGAGTGATGTAGTGAGGTACAGGAAGAATAAAAAGACACAGGAGAAAACGAAAGTAAAGAACAAACCTAAGTAATCAAATCCACAAAGCGATATGGTGGAGGAACACTATCCTCAACAGGAAAAGATGCAAGAACGCATCAACAAATTCACGACACAATGAACTATGGTGGTAATGTCTTCCACATTCAACAAGTCTCCAGTGGCCACAGACAAAGTTAATTTCAAGTGCAAGTGCTTATGGAGATCTACTGTGCATGAAGGATGTGGGAAATAACTTGATGCTAGTGGAATGCACAAGTTCTCAAAGGCAGATATGTGAGGAATGGCTACTGTGTGCAGAGAGGTAACCTTATCATTTTGGAAGTTACATTTATATTTTCTTAATGTAATATGACAAACTACAAATACTTCATAGAGCTTTTTTCAATGCATCCTTGTAAGAGATAGCCTAATAAACACTTTTTGTAAACTTACCATATTATTCTGTTCACCTTCACCTTGTGAGCCACCCATCCTGAAATAATACTCATTTTAGTTTAATCCACTTATGCACATTTACAATGATTATATATCTGTGTTCATAAAATGCAATAATTAAAATTTTGGCTATTTTATAAGTTGCAAAAAATGAATATACGAATATTTTGCTAAAAAAAGATTCAAAGCTGTTCATAAAACATATGTAAGGCCTTCTTCTTAACTGTATAAACTTTAAATACTTTCACACTAAAATGATGGAATTAAATTACTTGTAATATGTTGGAAAAATATCTCATCTAAAGAACAATTTTAATTGCTATACATATTCACAAATTACTCAATCATTTCTGTATCAACTCTTAACTATATAAATTAATGCTGAGTAATGGAAAAATGGATAGGAGCTGTGAAAACTCCTCTCAAACAGTCTACTGTTAATTTTTTTTTTTCAGTTGTAATTTGAGGTTTGAATACTGAAGATGTGGTTATGCAACAAGTAACCAAATAATATGAATATGGCTACTAACATGAAACAAAGTAGTTCAACAAAATGACAACTGCTGTATGTCACATTTAAAGTTTCTAAAATACATTTCAAGAGTCCATCAACAAATCTTATATTTTAAAATGATAAAGTATCATCACATTTTCTTTGAATACTTTTAATGTTTTAATAAACAGTATGGTACCACAAACAAAAATACAGTTCATACATATAAGATCACGGGGGCAATAGAACAACTACAGCATTGTGCATAAACATGACATTAGGGTCATTGGAGGACATAGTTACTGTGTTGTCATAATTCAAAAATTTGCAACACAATGCCACACAGAATTTCAATAAATACTATGATACTGTATTGTTTTAATTTTTTCTAAATCTGTCCTATAACATGCACTAATAGAAATAATCATGATCTTTATTGTTGGGTGCTATAAAAAGCCATCATGAAATAGCATTTAAGGGCATTTGCAGGTGCCATTGTAATGATGCCCAATAAAACAGAAGTAAAAACAAATGTTTTAGATTATATATTAATCAGCAATTGATATAACAGCAGATGGAACCATTTAGAAAATTTATGATTTGAAAGTTTTTAAATCAATTACTTGTTAATTATAAATATTAAGTTTATAAATATAATGCAACATCACTACATAAACACAATATAATTAACATACTTTTTAAAATGATCTCTTTTATACACACATAGAAGTACTTCTCACATTGTACCAGCATGTGTCACCACTTCTCCAGCATACAGTTCTGTAACTCTGTATGTTAGCGGTTTCCAAAATGATTAGCTATAAAAACAAAATTTTGAAGTCTTAACTTAAGTTACATGGGCTTACTTTGAAATACTGTTGAAAAACTATGCATGCAAACAACAGAAATTCTAATTTTAATTAAAGGTCATATTCAGTGGATACAAAAAGCTCATATAACAAACACTGGCAAGATTCTGCCCAGAACTTTTTGAATGCCACGTAAATCTTATAGTCAGCTCTGAAGCCATACTACAACTAGGTGGATCTGGAGGCCCCGATATAGTTACTACAGGACTAATGACAAAAATAAAATGCAGCATGATGCTTTTGTTTTATGCTTTGAGTATTTGGCAATCCAAAATCAAACACTGCACTTTGTAGCTTGTCTCAATTCCTTAACCTTCTATTTTGAAAAAATATGTACTGAAATCTAGGTCTAACTTCACAAAATCAAATTACTACTGAAAAAAAACAAGAACAAGGACCTGAAAAATACAGTTGACTTAAGCCCACAAATCCTCAGAAATGACGTAAACAATACTATCTCAAACAAAATTTTTAATAACAGTATATACACATTGTATATTATAGTGTTATGATTTTATGTTACTAAAATATGGACATTATTATACATAATTCATTTACATAGTAAACTGTACTGTATATTTTTGACAGTAAATTCAATTTCAAGTGATTCATTAAACAGTAATAATGCCAAATAGGTAAAAGACCTTATGGTTATATAGCACAAAATTTATGCTAAATGTTCCTTACATTTACATAATAGTGATTAACTATTAACTCTTTAAATCAATAATTTTTTGCACATGCTACTCTTGATCTTTAATTTATTTCAAAACAAATGACAATGCTTCATGGAACTTCCAGTCTATTTATATATGGTGGATAATAACAAGGTTTGGATTAGTTTTCAGCTGAAGAGACACAAATGTTATAAGATAATTTCAACATCGGATGGGTAAATCGGAATTTTCGGTTGGTTGCTCGAAGCATTTGATCAGGTTAAAGTGTTAATGCTCACACTGGTTATAGAGGCCAAATAACGAAAACCTTAAGATTATGAATATGATGTTCCCGATAAAAATAAAACTTCATTTCTCTTTCTTCCTGCTAATAACCTAAAACATCACACAAACTTAATTGAACAACTTTTTAAAATTGTGAACTTCACCTTATAAAACCAGTTTTTAAGAGCCTTTATGAATTCTTCTAAAATACAATTTTAAATAGATATATGTGTAAGTTTTCCAGATGAAATAATGCTCCTATTTTTTAAGCTGATAATATTTGGTGTGAAGTGATGAAACGAGCAATATATATTACCTTAAAATTGCATTGTTAGAAATCTTCATAAGATATATATATATATATATTACCCTATGAAGACAGAGGAACATGGAACACCAATATTAAAACCTCAAATAATGGTTTTATTGCTTCAGTCTTTGTATCCAGTAGCAAATTATTTTGCAAATATAACTTTATAACAAATACTGATTGTGATGTTTTTTATGCTGATGGTTTTACAGTAGCCTAACATTATCATTAAAGATAATTCTAATTAGTATTACTAAGTAAAATATTACTACTACTATACTACTTTAATGACTTGAGTCAAAGTACTAGTTCTAGCACTAAGTAGTACAAGAAGGCCTACATACTGGAAATTACAATTCAAAGGACGAAACAAAATCAAGTGTTCAGTAATTTAAGTAACAAATGCAGCTAAATGGAACAAAAAAGAGCAGAACGTGTATTGTATGGATAAACTTAAATAAGTCATGCCCCAATTAAAAAAAGAAAAAAGTTAGGGGAACTTATCCTAACTGTCGTTACCTCGTTGGTTTAAAATCTAACTCTTACTGAACTATTTGAAGTTAGTCTTACCGGTACGGTAGTAGGCCTAGGGGCAGTACTACTAGTTCTAACTTATTAATTTTGGTTTATACTATTCTGAGTTCTACTTTCTTTTCAATTTCTAATCATTGCTGCTTATTAACTGCAAAATAACCGAAATAAATGCATACTATGAATGAAATTTCGTTCCAAAAATGATCGTCTATATAATGCTGTTAGTGTTAGTAACTACTCTGCAGTATACGATCACAGACTACTTAGTCCTAAACTTATCGAAAAACTTAAGCCTAATAATAATATGGCGGGCAAATATTACACAATAACAAGAGATGGCTTAACTTCGTACAAAACACTAAACTAGATATGAACTAACGTTACCTGAACCAATAAAAGATTAAAGGGCACTTTAATTTATATATAATACTTTCGACAATTTATGCTAAGAATTGAATTTTACATCAGTTCACATATATATATATACATATACACTCATTATACCTCATTGTAGTCATCACAGATTTTCTTACAAGTCATCAACATTTACGAAGCATATACAATAATCCTACAAAACGCGATTACCTCTAAGGCTATATATTCTAAGCCACTTTTTTCATGAATATTGTATATACTAAGCCTCATATCGCGAAACATTAAAGTAATTTTGAATTTCAAAACAAATAACAGAATTTAAGTTTCTTACTGACTAATAGTAATAAGTCCGGGCATCGATGCTTATCGCCTTCAAACCCCGAAACACTTCAATTTTCAAATTATTATATTAGTTGCGGTTTTCCTTACCACAAATTTACCTACGTAAAATGTGTGAACAAACAACCCAATGCAAGTGTTGTTTTTTCATTTAAAGATTATAACAAGGTAAATATAATGTAAATCGCGGAAATGATAATAATAAACGTTTACGAAAATATATCCCAGGCATCGTTCCGGTTTTTCTAGGTAATCACTTATTCATGACCGGCCCACTGATGCTTAAAAATAAGAGTTAAGTTTATATTTTTTCATACTTAAAACACTTAATCTCAAAAGTTTTGAACATTTTGAAACAAAGCTAACATAATGGTATTAATTTGAAAAATTCCTGACAGTTATTTAATAGTGGTCTTCTTTGCAAGTAATAAGTCAATCTGGTCTGTCTCATTTAACAACAAAAAGACATGCTATGAAACTAAAACATTAATTATATGTGAAGGCTAAATTTATAACAGTTGAAGTAACTCTGAAGTTTTGAGTCCGTTTTACTTCACCATATAGTAACTTCCAACCAAAAAATGCATTAGGCTTTTACTTCACTTATTCTCTTTTCAGTATCACCTCTGGTGAAAAAAGAAAATATATCTCTAATATCTATATGTAGAGTTGAAATAACTTTTCTATAGAGCCATTAAGAAAAAGAACTCCAAACTTTCTTTTCTTATCTGAACAACCAATCTGACAATATAAAATTTCGGTGGAAATCATTAACGTTAGTTCATTTTTCAATGTTCTGTTTCACAAGGACGCTGGTGCAGAAACGCTGACTACTACTATTTATCGAAAAGAGAATCATTCAAATAAATATCTAAATTTTGTTCATATTGTTACGTCTCCGTTCGTTAATTAACTTTCCGTAACTTCGTTCCGACGAAACTTTAGCGACACAAATCCTTACTTAATAAAACTGGTTTATTCTTTCCGAATACAGCTTTACGATACATTTATTTTCAACAATCACGCTAAAACAAACGCTATATCAACGAACGTCAACAATACTTCTGACTGCAGTTCAATTACTCACTATCTGCACACACATTACCTTCCCGTCACGTTGTCACCCTCTTTTATATACCAGACTACTCTATATCTAGTAAACGCTAGAGCATTCGCCAAGGTACAGGATAGTTCTAGAAACGTGGCGTCACACTAGTCATGTGACTTCGCTTACGCAACAATGTCATACAGTTTTTGTCAAAACTGGTATTATTAAAACACTAAAATCTAGAGCTAATAATATACGCTCCTCTTTTTACCTAGATGAAAAACTTAAACATCTTGAGAAGATTTTCAAAAATTTCTGTTATCCCAAGAAAAAGGTACACAGCATGTAACATAATCAATCTGTCTCACCTACTAATGAACTACAACCTGACAATTACAATGTAAGGAAAAACAAACATTTTTTAATATATCAGGCCTTTGGTAAAAATTTCGAAGAATGATAAATAAACTTAACATCAGTTACATCACAATTGCCTTCACATGTCCACCTACACTGCGTGACAGTCTTACTAAAATAAATTTCTCATTTAACAATCCTCTTACAAAGAACGTGGTTAATATAATTCAGCGTGAGTGTAACAAACAATACCAAGTATAATTGTAAAATGAAGTCTATCTATACACTACTAAAACTCTGAGATTGTTTGCTTGTCTGCAATTAAATACAGCAAAAATGGCGCACAATAGCACCATGTTTATAATGAAATGAAAATAGAAACAGAATAAAACAAGTGTCGTTAAAATCGGGCCACGAGTTACCGAGTTAGCACCGTTTTTCGGGTCACTTTAAGAAAAATTCTAGATAAATTTATATACACTAGATAGCGCCACATATAGGTTTATCTATATACTAAAACTCTGAGATTGTTTGCTTGTCTGCAATTAAATACAGCAAAAATGGCGCACAATAGCACCATGTTTATAATGAAATGAAAATAGAAACAGAATAAAACACATTTCGTTAAATATTGAACTTAGCTTGAATTCTTCATAACCTCTGAATAGTGGGTGACCCAACGGGCCCAACTGTTACTATGGTGTATATTAGAGACCGCGTGATAAGAAATAATTTCGGGTCACTTTTTATGAAAATTTCTAGCATGAGTAAATTTACATCACACAACCGTTCGCGCTCTTTACGAAACTTCTTACTTCACTTTTTTGAAAATTGAAATTGTCTTTCCTTTTACTCCCGATCAACAATCAAATATCTTTTCTTGAATTATGGATAACACGAATGGATTGAAATATTTAATTAAATTATCTCAACATAAACCTTCATTTCGGTGCAATATTGAAATTAGCTTGAATTCTTCATAACCTCTGAATAGTGGGTGACCCAACGAGTCACGGTGGTCTAGTATATAGTTAACCGCGTAGGCAGCAGATATCGAAACAAATCGCCAAGGTATTTTTTATATGTTTAGCAGATCTAACGAAGAGCGCTAGCTTGAAATGTCATCCTCTTAAAAAGATATAAAAAAAACTTAGCGAATTCTTCAATAGATTGTTTAGGTAGAGTATTCATGATGAAACTTTGTTGAATGGATGACAACTTGACGAATGTTTAATCTATTCTTTAATTCCTGGTATAATTATAATCATTCTTTGCCGGCTTGTAAAAGGCGTACACATGATAACTGTTGTTGTATCAAATGACTTATTTAAATAGTATTGTATCCCAACCGGCCTGAAAAGCTCTTGATTGAGTGAAACACGTCGTCGGCAATGGATATAATATTGTTACGTCTCTGTGCGTTAGTTAATTTTCCGTAAAAATTCTTTCCGAAG